CAGGTGAGTCACAGGACGTGGGAAGCGAAGTGTGCTGCTGGGACAGGCGGTGCAGGTGTGAGTGGGGACGGTGCCTCCAGAGCCTGCCTGGCAGGCTGGGCCAGGGGCCCGGGTGGGAAGGCCAGCCTCCGCCTCGTTGGTTTTTGCCTAGGACATGTGCTGCCTGGTTCTTCCTGCAGGCTTTTGGGTGGACAGACAGGCTCCCGCCCTGGCAACCCTGACATTCCCTAGGAGGAGCAGAAGAACCACGTCAGTGAGCAGCATGGCCACACCACCTCACAGTGGGGTGTCCAGAGAGGGTGGCCTTGTCTGGGCTCCAGCTGGCCAGGCAGCCTCAGTTGGTTGCCTCTGAACTAGATGCTGTTGGGGGAACACAGAGGTGGGAGAGACCTTGGGTAGGGTTAGTTTGGGATGTCGGCAGAAGTCCACATTTGGCTGAGAGATGATGAAACCCTAAAGGCAGATTTAGCCACAGTGAGGGGGAATTCTAAGGAAGCTCTGAAGGCCATTTCCCTAGAAGGCAACAGGTGACCTTGTCCAGTTACCAGAGGACCTCTGCAAGATGTGGCTATTCCAAAGGGGAGAGGACATCCTGTGGCCCATGCGTGGTGCTGTACCTGGATTCAACACACCAGCAGCTGACGCTTGTGCTGAAACTCTTGTCCATTTTGATACAAAACTGTTAGCACTGAGTGAGAGAGAGGAATCCATTGCTTCCAAGACTTCATACTCTGGGATCCTTAGAACTGAGCTTCTTGTTGTGACACTGGTAGATTCCATGCAGTTGAAAACACAACACAGAGAGGGCCTGTCACCATTGCCAGTGTGCCCCAGGGTGACGTCATGTAGAACGCACAGACAGCTCCCGCCTCCCTTGGTTTCTTCAGCCCTGCTTCACAGGTTGAAGCCTGGGCAAGGTGCAGGTCACACCCTGTTTCTCTCACTCATGTGCATGTAGTGGGACAGGCAGCCTTGTGAGTGTGCACGGTGTGAGTGTGCCCTGCGCATTGCCTGTTGCCCCTTCACAGCCCAGTCCCTGTCCCTGGCAACTGATACCTGAAGCAGGAACTTCCAACTTAGTGATGGTGAAAAGGAAATCGAGTCCAGTGAGAGCAACCTGCAGGCAAGGCTTCAACTGGAGCTCAGCTCAGGGGGCAGCACTGATGGAGTAGCCAGGCTGCTCCCCGAGCAAGGGAGACACGAGCTGTTGTGGCCTTGCTGGGGTGGGCTAGGGTCCAGTCAGTGAGTTCCACTGGCCAGGGGCAGATTCCAAAAGATGTTTCTTCTCATGGTGGCCTTATTGGGGGACTGCTGGGTTGTGATGCAGCTGGTCCCTTTGTCCTGTGCACACACCTGGCCTGTGGCTCCATCTGGGCTGATGGCAGGGCTGAAGGGCTTTGGGTGCTTGGGCTACTGTCACTCCTGGACAGGCACAGGGCAGGTGGAAGAAAACACCTACCAGCCTCCATGGTCAGCTATGACTACCCACAGGACCCAGTAGAATCGACCCAAAGGGTAAGGTGGCCAAGGGGACAGGACCAATGTGAAGACAGAGACCCCACTCCAGTCACCCAGCAGACTCCTGCAGGCCTGGGGAAGAGCCAGAGTCTCCAGTGAAAGAGGCCTTGGGGTCCCTGAAGAGCAGCTGGGCCTCCACTGTCCACATAGCCCACGCAGCAGAGGTGTGACTCGCAGCAAAGCCCTAGGGAACCAGTCATATGCCCTAGCTGTGTGACCTCCCAAACAGGCAAGTCTCAAGTTAACTAAGAAAAGGTGAAGCTAGAGGATTTATTAGGTTTTCTCAGGAGAAATCTCATCTTGTGCAAACATTCTACTTCTCTGGTTGGATTGGGTCTTGTGACCCATTTGTTCAGGAGGGTAGAGAAGCAGCAGGTCCTGCCACTTAGGGGACTCATTCACTGCACCCCAGGGTCACTCCCTGTTCCCAGCCTTTTGTCCCGTCTCATGGCCCTGACAGATCCATCCAGACTTGTATGCTACCAGCTTCTTGCTCCTGAGCTGTGTTTCATGCTACGGAGGTGAGCAGCTAGCTTAGCCATCCTGCTAGGGGATACCAGGGGGTTTCCAGTTTTGACTCTCACAGAGAAAGCGGCTGTGGGTCTGGGCTCAGGCTTTTGAGGGATGAATTCAGGAGTGCAATTGCTGGCTTATGCAACAGCTGCATACTTACGTGTATAAGAAGCCGCCGCCTTGTTTTTCAGAGACTTGATAGCATCTGGTGTTGTGCTGTTCTATTTTAGCCATTCTGAAAGGCGTGTGGTGACAGCTCACAAAGATTTAACTTGCATTCTCCTGGTGGCTAATCAAGTTAGTCACTCATTCCTATTGCCCTCTGTGGATCCTCTTCCATGAGATGCCTCCTCATGTCTTGGCCCACTTTCATGCTGAATTTTTTAAACTGTTGAAATATATATCCTAGCTACCAGTCCTTTGTTGGCTATGTGGTTTTCGAACATTTTCTGTCAGTCTGTGTGTTTGAAAACCTCTGATGGGAATTGCATCAAATCTGTAAGTCAATTTAAGGAGAACTGGCATCTTTACTCTGCTGTTTCCCAATCCATGGACACAGTATACCTCTCTGTTTATTCGGTCTTTTTGATTTCTTCTGTTAATGTTGTATAATCATTAGCATCGAAGCACTACACTTGCTTTGCTAAAGTATTTAATTTTCTTTGAAGTAATTATATATGTACCCTGTCTTTAATTGTGGTTTTCACATGTGTTGGCACAGTTCAAAGAAATACAGTTCATTGTAGTGTGCTGATCCTGTGTCCTGCAGCCTTGCTGAGCTCACTGCTCACCCCAGACCCCTGAGGATATGGGAGGAGGAGTTGACAGAGACTTGGATAGGTGGAAATAGCCACTTGGTCACCCTGTTTTAGGGTAACAGGCTGAGACTTTACTAGGCCTGCAACTGGTGAGGGGCAAATCCTATCTAGCCATGTCCTCGACATCGATACCTATGCTGTCCCTCCCTATCTGCCAGGAGTGGTAGGAAGACATGGAAGTCCCCAGTCCCAAGCAGTACCAGGCCTTGGGGGAAGGCTGTGAGGGCCAGCTCCTCGGGGTCAGGGTTAGTGGATGGATGGGGTGGGGGCAAGTAAGGAATGAGGAGAAGGGGACAGGGGAGCTGGAAGGGACAAAGGTGAGGTGAGGACAGTGGCACTGAGCAGGAGGACCACAGGGCCCCTTCAGAGGTTTCAGAGAGTGGGCTGTCCTTTTGGAGGGCACTGGGGAGAGCCCCATTTCCCCTTGGTTACTCAACAGTTCTTCACAAAAGAGACCCCAAAGTGTGTGACTCCATCTGACGCACACACGACCCTGGTAAGAACACACAAGGGCTGGGACCACGCAACTGCTTGTTCAGAGAGGGATGTGGGACAGTGGTGAGTAAGAGAAGCAATGAATAGGCAGAAGGAAACTTGAAGGAAACAGGGACAGAGACAATTTTAACTGAGTGTCACCTGCCTTTCCAGGCCGGTGCTTTGCATGGCCTGTCACCCACAAGCTTCTAGAAAACCTGTGATTCTCCCTTGTCCTCTGTTAACTAGCCCACAAATAAATATATCAAGTAAAGAGATATATGACATTTAAAAAACCCCTATAATTTGGGGGGGCTTTCCAGCAACGATTACTGATCAGACAGATAATGGAGACCACGCCGGCCTGAGGATCTGGAGAATGACCAGACCACCATAAACCATCTTGAGATCCCCAGACTGACGCCAACCCCACACCTCCTGTGCCCACCCCTCATCAGACTTCTTTAGAAGAGCCCAGAACCCAGGAACAGGGGCCTGTTCTCTCTGGAATGTGTGCCCCTGCTTTCCTAACCCTAATCCTGCTCCCTGATAGACAGTGCTGTCAATCTTATCTGTCATGCATTTCAAGGACCCCACTTGTGCTGCCGGAATCCCCCCTTCCCTGGGAATTCTTCAGATGACAACCCTCTTCCAGAGACATCTCCTGTGACAGTGACACCTGCCAACCCTTAAGACTAAGAGCAGGAACAGCCTGCTCCGGACCACAGAGGCGAGCCTGAGGGACAGGAGGCCTCCTTGTCCACCTCAATCTGGATAAGGAGACCCCACTCTACATGGGCCTGCCTGGCAGGGCCAGGAACCAGCCAGACACAGGCCCTCTGAGCCAGACTCACGCCCACTGAGCCAGACTGGCCTCCCTCCTGCCTCCCACCCATAGGCCTCTGTGGAGACAAACAGAAACCTGCCCAGCTGCTGGGCCAGCTGACTCCCGGGGGAAGCAGCAGAAAACATCCGGGTGGGAGGGCAGGCTGCCTCCCCTAGGGGCTGGGCCGACGGGATCTTCAGGCCTTGTCCTCCCCAGCTCCCACCCTTCCGGATTCCCCTAGCGGGAGGTGTAATGGCACTCTGGATTCCAGGCTCTTTGCAGACTGACACCAGTTTCCTCTTCCAGGCTGGCCTCTAGCCTCTCCCTGCCGCTTGTTTGGATCTCAGTAGCTTGGGGGCAAAGAGACTGCAGGTCCCCTTTCCTGCACCCACCCCCGCGAGCATGTTCACGACGGGTCCTCACAAGCTGTGACCCGATTGGCCACTACAAGAAGGGACTTTTTCCTGCCTCTGAGGCTCGGTTTCGATCCCGGCTTCAGCAAGACACCCAAAGTGGGGAGGGCAACTCCGCCCACTCGCCCCTCCCACACGACGCGTCGCCCCAGCGGATCCTTGGGGGCGGGGACTGACCCTATTGCCCCGCCCAGTCCGGCGCCACCCGGCCCGCCTACGCGGGTGCCTTTAAGTCCTCTGGAGACCCTCGGCCGGCCGCGGCGATGGCGGGGCCCGCGGGAACAGTGGCGGAGGCTGCCGGGGGCGCACCGCGAAGCCCCCGCGCCTATGCGCGCCGCTGGGTCTTCCTGCTGGTGGTCAGCTTGCTGAGCTGCTCCAACGCCGCGGTACCGGCCGGGCGGGCGTGGAGCGCTGGGGCGGGCCGGTGGAGCGCTGGAGCCGGCCTGCTGCACTGTCCCTCAGCCCCGGGGCCGGGGCCGCGCGTGTCCGGTGCCCGGGTACGGGGACCTGGGCCTCGGCCTCGGGCGCCTTCTCCTGGTCCGCGCTGGCCGCCCAGTAAGGGGCCAACGTCTGGCCCAGTCTGCCCCAGCTCCAGGGCACTGGCAGTCGGCACTGAGAGGGACCAGCAGAGAGATGGGCTTTGCCATTTCAGGTGTCCCACCCCACAGCCTGCAGCTTCCTAGACTCTCCGCAGCCCCCACCCCTGCAGCCAGAGGCCTAGGCTGCCTCACAGCCCTTGTACCTAGGTGGGCTGTGTGTGACCCTCACTTCCTCTGTGCCAGGCTAGTCTTGGCCACCTCTCCATGTTGCTTAGACAGGCATCCATAGGTGGAGGGAGGGCTTCCAACCACCTCACCACCATCTGACCTGGTGGCTGAACAGAGTGGACTGTGATGGGGGCTCCCAGGCTGTCTGGGGTGTGCACTGGGGTCTGCAGGCTGCAGTAACTCCAGAAACCTCTTCCCTCTGCCAAAGCTGCCTGGATGAGCCCTGATTTGCTGCTGTGGCTTGGCTCCCAGGCCCCTGTGTCTAGACAAGGCTGTGGCTATGCCATCTGGGGATGTCTGGACAAGGCTGTGGCTATGCCATCTGGGGATGTCTGGACAAGGCTGTGGCTATGCCATCTGGGGATGTCTGGACAAGGCTGTGGCTATGCCATCTGGGGATGTCTGGACAAGGCTGTGGCTATGCCATCTGGGGATGCACTCGGGCCTCCTCTGGAGCTTCTTCCATGGGTCTGAGAAGTTCCTGGGTCGCCCAGGTAGGGTCCTGCCATTGTGGAGCAGACAGGAATTGTGGTCCCTGCTGGGTCTCCACTGTGAGCACTGGGCTTCATGTTTGCCCTGGCCAGGTTCCTGTGCCCCTGGGTCACTGTTTGCAGCTGGTGACCAGGGCTCCCAGGTGCTGAGGGGACAGGTAGCACAGAGCTTGGGGTGAGGCCTGGAGACAGCCCAGCATTCTGAACAGGGTTCTGTGTGGGGCTCTGCCTGCTCCTCAGGAAGATGAGGGGCGAGCAGGGAAGGGCTGGGAGCTGGTTGAAGGATTCCTTGCACAGCAGGTGAGTTGGATAGGTCATCTCCTGCCATCCAGGGTCACAGCTCTGGGAGGAAGACATGGAGCTGCTGCTGGCTGTTTAGGGAGGAGCTCCAATCAGTTCTGTAGAGCAGGCTCTGTAAACAGATGCTGACGCCTTCAACTGCTGGGTTAGGTCAGGCAGGAGGCAGCTGAGCCTGTTTGCTGCTCTTTCTGAGCTTGGGGATCAGCCCTTGCACTGTCCTGAGGAAAGAGGAAGACAGTCAGCCCTTGCTTAGCTGGCGGTCATGTGAGTTTGGCAGTGGGAGCCTGGCTCTCACTGCCCACCATGGAGGGTGTGGCCTAGAGCTCTGGCATCCTGAGTTGACTCATCGTGACCTTGGACCGTGATACACCCTCGTGGTTGGTCCATGTGCCACCCTCCCACCCCACCTCTGGGTTAAGCCTTGATGACCCCTCCTTTCCTCCTGCCCCCTCGTCTTTTCCAGAAAGCCTGCCCCATGGCCCAGTGTGGTGAGTGTGCTGTTTGCTGAGAAACCATGGGTTGCTCTCAGCATTTGGTAACTCCTACAGTTGAAGAATGTCCTCTGCCCTGGGGATGGCCTCACCTGCAGGACACCTGTCTCCTGTGGGGTGGGGCCCGCACACAGTGGAGGTGTTTCTACCTGAGATTCCATCGTCCAGCTTGCAAGAGATGACCTGCCCCCCTCAAAAAATGTTCCAGAATCTGAGCTCTGCTGTCCCTTTGGCACTGTCCTCAGCCCTGCTGGGGCCCTCCTTGTCCCTCTGGGTGCTGCTGCCTGCAGCCTCACTCACACCTAGGCTCCCAGGGCTTCCCGCCCTTGCTATCTGGACGTCTGGCATGGTGTCTCCTCTAGCCACCGACTGCCCAGACTGTGTCAGCTTAGTGCTCATCCATGTGTTGGGGGGCCAGGGCTGCCATCTTCCCTCTCCCCAATGTCCCTTGCCTTCTGTGAACTGGTGCTGTGTCCAGGCAACTCCATCCCTCCGAGGTTCTGCTCTTGCTGCCTCTCCCTGCCCACTTGGCAAGCCTCAGCTGCCCATGTGCCCTTTCACACCCATAGTCCACACAGCGCTTCCCAGAGGGTGGGTGGTCCCCCTGCTGACAGCCCTCAGGCTGTCCTCAGGGGTCAGGTCCAGTCCCAGTGGGGCTCCTGATCCTGCAGGCTCTGGCCATATCATCAGCCTCAGGGCTGGTCCAACCTCCTGTTGCCCTTACAGGCGGACTCATGCTGTCCTGCCGAGGGATGGATGAGAGGGGCAGCAGGCAGCCAGGGAGGAGTGGCGGGGCAGTGTCTGTGGGCCCTAGGCTGACTCCGCATGTCCCCACAGCTCTGGCTCAGCTTCGCCCCAGTTGCAGACGTCATTGCCCGGCACTTCCTCCTGTCCATGGCACAGGTTGGCTGGCTCTCGCTGATCTACCTGGTGGTGTCCATCCCATTTGGCATCTTGGCCATCTGGGTCCTAGACTCTGTGGGGCTCCGAGGGGCGGTGAGTCAGACCCCACACCATGGCCTGCCTGGGATTATTAGCAAGGTCCTCTGCATTTAGAGGTTGGGTGCATGTGCTCCCCAGACCAGGGCCCAACAGCCCTGCTGGCTGGGACCCCAGGCAAAACTGCCAGGGAGGAGGGATGGCTAGAAATTGGGATGTGCCTGTGAGCTAGGGTGGGCATTTGGGGACATGGGTTGGGGAGTCCGAGATGGCCAGCAGCCTTCTGACTGTCCTGCAGACCATCCTGGGTGCATGGCTGAACTTTGCTGGGAGTATGCTCCGCGCCCTTCCCTGTGTGGCTGCCTGGGTCCCCAACACATTTGCCTTCTTCATGGGTGGCCAGAGCCTCTGTGCCCTGGCCCAGAACTTGGTAATCTTCTCTCCAGCCAAGCTGGCCGCCTTGTGGTTCCCAGAGCATCAGCGAGCCACAGCCAACATGATTGCCACTATGTGTAAGTGCCAGGGCTGAGGCCTCTGCCTGCCTGGGTCTTCCACCCCTTGAGCTCATGAGCCAGGGCCCCAGGGCCAGGAAGCCTTCCCCCTGGGCTGGGGATGAGGCCAGCCATGGCTGAGCTGACCTGCTGCCTGGTTCATCTCTCCACCCAGCAAATCCCCTGGGCATCCTTGTGGCCAATGTGCTGTCACCTGCCCTGGTCAAGAAGGGAGAGGACATCCCTCTAATGGTGAGGAAGCTTGTAAGGCGCACATGTGTGGTGTGTTTCTGCTGTCTGCTTGTGCATGTGTAAGTGGTGTGTGTGCATGTGTGGTGTGAGGGGTGTGCATGAGTTGTACGTGCATGTGTGTGGTGTGTGCACACTGTGCACATGTGTGCACATGTGTGGTATATGAATGTGTGCGTGCTGTGCATGCATGTGTGGTGTGTGGTGTGTGCACACCTGTTCACTTGTACTCTGACATGCCTGGGTGTGTTTGCATGACCTTCTTCCTACGTGATTGTGCAGCTGGCCCTTAGGTGCTACTCTGTTCTGGGTGGTCAGGCTGGCCTTGTCAAGGTGGGAGCCATCCTTGAGGAATATTTTGATAATCAGGGCTCTTCATGAAACCCCCAGGAGCAGGTGAGGGTGGTGCAAAGCAGCCCACCACAGGCCCTGGGTTTACTGGTGACTCTGGAGGTTGGAGGGTGGACAGAGATCACAAGGGGATAAGGACCTGGGCCCAGAGCAGGGCAGAGGCATGTGGGCACAATTACCTGTGTGGCTGTTTATGACACCCATGCCCTCTCCCAGCTTGGAGTCTACACCATCCCTGCAGGCCTGGCCTGCCTGCTGGCCACTGTCTGCCTCTGGGAGAGTGTACCCCCCACCCCACCCTCTGTGGGAGCCGCCAGCTCCACCTCGGAGAACTTCCTCCAGGGGCTCAAGCTGGTGAGTGTGGTGGGACTCTGGGGGTGGGAAGGCCCTGGCTGGAAGCACCTGGGCTTCTGGGCTAAGAGGCACCTCCCCTCCAGCTTCTGCAGAACAAGGCCTATGTCATCCTGGCTGTGTGCTTTGGGGGTGGCATCGGGATCTTCTCCAGCTTCTCGGCTCTCCTGGAGCAGATCCTCTGTGCCAATGGCTACTCCAACGTGAGTTCCTGCAGGGCAGGGACTCTGCCTCTGCTCGGGTTACCCACTGCCTCTGAGTGTTCAGTGTCCACGCTGGAAGAAGCATGGAGGGCCAGCTGTAGGACTTGTGCATCCCTGGGCCTGACCCATACCTGTTGCCCTCTGCCCTGTTCCCTTTGGCTCAGAGCTGGGTGTGGGCCTGGGGCATGTTTCCACTTCTGCCCTAGGTGCAGGGCACTGAGGGCCTGTGGATATCTCTGGTGACTGGCTCTTTTCCTTAGTGGGGTGCTCAGTAGTGGATCCCACTCTGGCAGACAGCCAATAGTGTTGTCCTGCTTTGGCCTTGGGTACTGCCCTGGTCACAGGGTATGTCCCAAGGAACTCTGGTGGCTTCCTGCCCCAGGATGTTGCCTGAACTTTCCCCTCTTCCAGGGGTTCTCGGGCCTCTGCGGGGCTCTCTTCATCGTGTTTGGGATCCTGGGGGCACTGGTTCTTGGCCTGTATGTGGATTGGACCAAGCGCTTCACTGAGGCCACGAAGATAGGTCTCTGCCTTGCCTCCATGGCCTGTGTGGCCTTTGCCCTGGTGAGAGTCCCCTGCTGAGCCCCGCTGCAGGGGTGGAGGAGTGCCCGGGCAGGTGGCAGGCAAGAGGCCACTGGCCTCTCAGGCATGGCCTCTCCTGCTGGGGGGCCCATGGCGGGTGAGGTGTCCCTGCCTCCAGCCATGCGGCCTAGTTGGCACAGCTGGCTGTGCTGACTGCTGTCTCCTCTGTTGCCTGGCTGCTCCCAGGTGTCCCGACTGCAGGGGCAAGCCCTTGCAGTGGCTGCCACCTGCTCGCTGTTTGGGTTCTTCGGCTTCTCTGTGGCACCTGTGGCCATGGAGCTGGCGGTGGAGTGTGCCTTTCCTGTGGGTGAGGGTGCAGCTGCAGGCCTGGTCTTTGTGCTGGGGTGAGTGTCCACCTGCCCTGGCTGCTTCCCTGGGCCTAGATGCTCTCCCCTGGCCCACCCCAGGCTGCATGGCCCAGGCCCCTGTTTGGGAAGAGAGGGGCCTGTCTGCTCTGGTAAGGGTGGGCCATACACAGGCCTGGGCCAGCCTAGGCCACATGGACTAGGCTCCATGCTGCTCTTGGAGCGTCAGCGGGCGGCGCAATGTCGGTCCCTCCCAAGGTGGCATTGGCTTTGAAAGGTGGACAGTGCCGTGGCCCTGGCTGAGGGCTGTGCATGTCCAGGCAGGCCCAGGGTGTGCTCATCATGGTGTTGCTGACGGTGCTGACTGTGCGGCCCGAAGATCCATCCTCCTCCACCTGCCAGCATGGCGAGGACCCGCTGGACTGGACAGGTCAGTGTCCATACCCATGACCCAGGGCCCTCAATGAGTAGAGGTAAAAAGGCCAGGCCTGGCCAGTTGGGGCAGCCCTGGAACCCCCATTCTGGGCCCTGTCTCTGGGTGCCCTTCACATGCCACCTACACCTGAGCACCTGAGCTCAGCGGGTGGGTGCAGCCCAAAGACCCTGAGAGAAGCCCAGTCTCAGTGCCCCCTCGTGAGCTGTTTTAGAGCCAGGAAAGAGAGAGAGAAGTGGAGAGACACGGGGGCAGAGAGTGGGGAGGGTCTGAGAGGAGAGGGACAGGGACAGAGAGCACATTCGGAGCTGGAGTGGGCAGTGATGACAGTGGGGGTCAGGCACCCTGGGCACAAGGCCTGTGACCCCCAGGACTGTCAGGATGGGGAGCAGGGCTGCTTTGGGGATGCATTGTGGCCATGGTGGGTCCAGATCCCCTGGGCTCTGCCATGGCCGAGGGCTCCTCTGGCTAATTGGGCCAGCTGAGAGAGAGAGCTGTGTGTGTCCCCAGTGTCTCTGCTGCTGATGGCCAGCCTGTGCACCCTCTTCACCTGTGTCTTGGTGCTCTTCTTCCACACCCCATACCGGCGCCTGCAGGCTGAGTCTGCAGGACCCCCCTTGCCCTGGACATGTGCCCCAGAGCTGAGGGCACCACCTGAGGCTCCTGGCTCAGCACCTCCAGCTCAGAGGCTGCAAGAACCTCCTGGCCCTGCCTCCTGCCTTCAGGAGCCCAAGGACTCACAGAGACTGTGAGCAGGGGTGTCTCATGAAGGGAGGTGGAGAGGCAATCTCTGGTCACCGGGACTGTGACCACCGGCTCAGGGTTTTTGGCACACCCAGGGCATGGCAGGATTTGGCACTATGGACCCTGTGCAGACTGTATAGCTGAAGCAAGAAGAGCTGCTACTGTATGGACACTGACCAGGGAAGACAGCCCAACACAGGGCAGTGTAGGTTGGTGAGGTGGCCTGGCACAACAGCAGGGGCTGAAGGGGAGCTGGGTATGAGGGACCTGGAGTGGACAGGTGTGGGCACTTGCTAGAAGGAGCCAATCCCTGAGCCTCTTCTTCTCTGCTCAGTATGGGGTGACCACACACTGAGGCTGATGCTAAGACAGGTGGGCAGGGCTGCCAGCACAGGGGCCCCAGGCCGATGCAGACTCTCGGGCAGACACTGGCAGGCAGATGTGTGGGTCCACATTTATTGAACTGGACACAACCAGGGCTGAGTAGCCTCACTCCTCCTTCTCCTCCCCATGGGTGAGCACGTAGCTCAGCGCCTTGTAATCCAGGTTGCCCGCTGCGTCGATGGAGGCGAACTCCAGCATCTGGTCCACCTGAATGAAGGCGAGTTGGTGGGTGGGGGGTCAGGCCTGGTGGAATGGGTGGCAAGAGGTCCCCACACCTCAGCCTCCTAGGTGCTCTGGATTACAGGTGCTGAACTCCAGAGGCTCCTAGTGTTGCTTCTCTGCCAGGAATGGGGAGGGATCTTGGAGGGGCAAGCAGGGTGGGCATGGGGCCAGAAGGAGAAGCAGGTTACCGAGCTGGTCAGTGGTGCTTAGGGTGGCCACCTGGGCAATGTGAAGAATGGGGTGGAGTTCTGAAGTACAGATGGGGGCTACCCTGTCCCCTTGGGCTAGGACAGTAAGTCTGTCCCCTCAGCTAGGTCAGACCACCAACTGGCCAGTGGCTTCCAGCCCTGACCTAGCCCAGGGCCACCCCCCTCTCCCAGGAGCCCCTGCCCCAGGGACTGTTCTTACTCCTGCCCACCATGGTCCTGCAGCCTGGGGCTGCTGTCCCTCAGTGGCCCTCTGGGGCTGCAGGCCTACCTCAGTTGCAGTCATCTTGTCAGCCTGGGACATCAGCAGGCGCTTGATGCTGAGGCCAGGAGGAGCAGGGGAGTGGTTAGGCTCCCTGAGGAAGGGCTGGCAGCTCACACCAGGGCACCTCCAGCGCGGCTCAGAGTGGCGTGGGCTCAGTCCTCACCCCACCTTCCCAGCACCTGGTGATCACCCCAGCCCATCCTGACCCCCATCGGTCATCCCCAGTCCGGAGGAGGTGTTTTATGGGTCACAGGCAAGTGCTTGGGAGGGACACCAGGCTATTCCCTCTCCCCAGCCCCTGGATGAGGTGGCCCTCCTGTAGCAGGGTCTAAAGACAGTGACACCTGGAGGGACCTGGTGGCCTAGTCATGGAGACTGCCCCACTGGGTGGGACTGGACTTCCTGGGTCATCCTGAAGGACTCCGCTCAGGCCACAGAAGGCCCCGAAGCTGGAGAGACCAGGAGATGGGCTTGGGTGTGGGTGCTGCAGCCCCTTCTGCCAGCTGGGACCCTCCCTACAGCTGCACTCACTACTCCTTGTGGATGCTGCCTTTGCCGTCAGGATCGAGCATCTTGAAGGCATTCAGGATGGTCTCCTCAGTGTCTGTGCCTGCAGCAAAGAGGCCATAGGGTCCCCTACTACCCCAGGGCTCTGAGCCCCTGCCCAGCAGCATCACTGCCAGGAAGCCTTCCCACTCCTGAGCCCCAGGGAGCCTGCCCTGTTGTTCCCACCTGGGGGAACCATTCTCAGGGTCCCCAGAGTCAGTCCATGCCTGCAGCTGGAGCCAGGGATCTAGGAGTGAGGGACAGAGACCACTGGACAGCTGGGTAGATGGGAGGTTTGGAACTCAAATGGCTCTGGGTGGCTGACAGGATCTTAGGGCATGGGGAAAATACAGGCTTCTATGTGCAATGGCTGGATTTCTAAGCACTGGGAATTAGCTAGGCACATACACACAGCTGTCTGATTGGCCTGAGGGCTGCCCAGGAGTGCTATCCCTGAGAGGGACCAAAGAGCTCACCAGTCAGCTTCTCCCCAAACAGGTTCAGGAACATGGTAAAGTTGATGGGCCCTGAAGCCTCCCGGAGCATGGCGTCCAGCTCATCATCCTTGACGTTGGTTTTGCCTGTTGCAAAACCAGGAGGAGGGTTTACCAGAGCAGGAACGTCACCCCCTGCCCCTCTGCCCTTGTTGACACTGGCTACCCACTCCTGTTGTTCTCCAGGGTGATCCCAGAACAGTGCTGGGCTCTTGGGGAGAGTGCTCTCAGCCAGGTGTGTGGGGTACAGGCTGGGGCAGGTGAATTCACCCCAAACCCTGAGCCTGGGACACAGCTGCTGAGGAGGAAAGGGGAGATCAGAGGTGGGGAGAGGGGAGGCTGGGTTTGGGGACAGGGGAGGTGTCTTTTCTATGTTTAGGCTTAAGGAGGGTTGAGAGGGGACTCTACCATAGGAAGAAACCTGCCCACCTTCCCCAGCTCCTGGGGCAGGACCGGAAGCCTCAGGCCTGGCCTGAGGAATTCCCCATGGGGAATTTTGGTGCAGAGGCTTTGTGCCCCTAGGTGGCCTTGGAGAGGGCTGGAAGAACTGGGTCCAGTGTGACAGCATAGGCAGGCCCCACGCCCTCTCCTAGCTCCATGAGGCTGGGCTGAGGCAGGGTGGGCTCAGCCTGCATAAGCTGTGGCTGTGGCAGCCCACTGGTGTTGTCCGCTCCTGGGATCCCCTGCTCCAAGCCCATCCCAAGTGGTCGTGTGTGGGCAGTGGGCCACTGGCTGGTCTGCCCTGGGCACCCTGTGCTGACCCTGAGCAAGCCAAGTGTGCAGGATGTCACCAGCCTGTAGGGCCAGTGCCCTTGATCGACTCGAGGCAGAGTGATGATGTCCAGGTTGGATGTCACGTGCTCACCTTCTAGTGGCACTTACCCAGGGAGGCGTAGGTATCCTTCAGGTCCTCCTTGTCAATGAAGCCGTCTCGGTTCTGATCCATGAGTGTGAATGCCTAGAACCCGGGCTGCTGGGAGCGTTGCTGGTAGCCCAGCTCTGCCTCCATTCCTGTGCCTCTCCTGGCTCCTCACCCACACCAAGGCGAAAGGCAGCCACAGGCCTACATGGGATCCCCCCACCCACTGGAAAAGGGACTTGGACAAAAGAGACAGACCCACCTCCTTGAACTCCTGGATCTGGGTCTGTTCGAAGTTGGAGAAGACATTGGAGGATGCCCTCTGGGCACGCAGCGCCCCGCCCTCCTTCTTCTTGGTCTTCCTGCTGGCCTGAGGCAGGAGCACCAAGACTTAGAGTCCTGGCCAGCTGCGGGAACCCCAGGACACCCCATGATCCTGCTGAAGGTCCCTGGCCAGCTGGAACCCCAGGGCATCCCAAGATTCAGCAGGCTTAACACAGAGGAGAGGATCAGGCAACATGGTGGCCCCAAGCCCAGGTGTATGGGGGAGGACAGGGACTCCTTAGGCCCTGGCACAGCACAGGGCTCAGACTACCTCACCGGGCTTGGCCTGGGGGCTCCAGAGCAAATGGACTCCATGAATGGGCCTGTCCTGGGCACCAGGTCTCCTGTGGCCCAGACTCTCCCACATGCTTCCCCGACTGTCACCAGGGTGGCTGTCCCTGGGTGGCCGAGGCACATACTTCTCACACCCACACTGAGGTGCATGTTCACATGCTCTCACACACTCACATGCACATCACACTCGTGTGCACACACAGCTCTCACATGCCCCTGCCCAGTTGTCTGCCTGCTCACCATGCCTGGGTCCTCCCTGCCCAGGGCTCCAGTCCTGCCTGTCTTAAGCTTCTGCCTGGTCCCCCAGGACACTTCAGACTTCAGCTGCCACTCCCTACAAGGACAGGCTCAGGGCCACCCCAGGGGACTGGACAACTGCAGAGTGAGCCTGGGCAACCTGCCGGTGACTCAGACACCCCTCTGCCCCCAGGCACCAGGAGGCTTTGTTCTGCATAGGAGGCTGTGTCTCCAGGGCCATCTGCCAAACTTTTGGCCAGGGCCTTGGTGTTGAGAGCCCTCTTAGGCACTGTGGGCCCTGCTGGGACTGCAGGAACTGTAAGTGTCAAAGGAAATTTGGCTTCTCCAGATCTGTACAGAGGTACTACAAGGAGCCCAAACATTGCTGAGCACTCATTTTAGTATTTATTTATTTATTGATATTGGTGATTGAACCCAGGGGTACTTTAACACTGAGCTATATCCCCAGCACTTTTTATTTAGAGACAGGGTCTGCTAAGTTCCTGAGGCTGGCCTTGAATTTGTGATCCTCTACTTTAGCCTCCCAAGTTGCTGGGATGACAGGCGTGTGCCACCGGGCTCAGCCTGCTGAGCACTTTGAGTATTAGAGCTCCCAAGCACCACCGTCCTCACCTCCCTGTCTCATTGGTATATACGACAGTGGGGCCTATGACCCTGGCCTGACCCTTTGACCTCATGGTGGCAGCTCTTTAGTTTCTGTGGCAAGAGACTTGGGGATGGCCAGGCTACCCAGATGACCTGGTCTGGGTCACTCTTGGCTGCCAGGTCTCCCTCCTACTGCCTGACCTGAGTTCTGGGAAGGGACACAGCCTCAGTCACACAGCTCCCTTCGGGTGCTGCTACCTAAGACCCCCAGAGCCAAAGGGGTCTTCAGGTAGGACCCTGTGGAAGCATCACCTGCTGGGAGGACCTGGGGGACCAGGTATAGGGGCTAAGGATCCAGAGCCAAGGGCCCACTTCCTGGGGCAGGGCTGGGTGTGGCCCTGCAGGCGTCTTGGCTTGGCTGCAGGAGGGGGAGCTCCAAATGTGAGAAGGCTGCAGATCTCCAGGGAGCATCCTGGCCCAGTTGGGCTCTAGGTCCCCCTCCAGGACTGAGTTCAGCTCTAAAGATAGTGACACAGACAGGGGTATCAAGATTCTGCACACATCTGACCCTGACAGGTGCAGAGGCTTCCACTGGTATTTCAAGACAAGAGAGACCCTCCTTCCCTCCCCTAGCCCCTCAAAGAGCCCTGATCCAAGCCAGGTCTCCAGCAGTGCCCATGGGTGGTCTTGCATGCACCAATGTGCATGTATGTGTTGTGCACTGACCCCCAAAGCTGCTGGTATGTCCTGTCCCCTGTCGTCACCTGGGCCCCAGAGACACTTATTTTCAACTTTGGAAGCTTCAGCTGCTGAGGAGTGCAGTTTATTTTAAAATCTGGTAAAGAGAAAGCCCACTCGGTCACTTGAGGTCATTTGGCCAGTGGCCCAAGGGCAGGAAGGGGTGGGGGGCTCTGCAGGCTGATGTCTGTGTGAGTGGAGAGCTCTGTTTTGTGCACTTGTGGATTCCCCAAAAGCCAGAGGGCTCAGGAGGGCCAGGGTCTGCATCCACCCCACAAGACTGGGCTCTAGCAGGAGTCCTCAGGGGCTCCAGGCTGGCCTCATCCAGGGCAAGAGAAGAGCAGTTGGCCCTGCAGGATTGGCCAAGGTGTTCCCATCTCCAGCCCTGACTTCCCAGCTGGGGAGGCTGAGGGCTGGGACTCCAGAGCAAGCTGAAAAACGGGACAAGCTCAGCCAGGGCTCTTAGAGGGCCAAGGCAGTTGGGCTCTAGGTCCCCCTCCAGGACTGCTGAGCACCCATGGGCCTTGAACTTTTCATTGCATTTATTCACTTTAGATTCAGTTATGTTGTCTTTGGAAACAGGAATTCGAGGAAGAGTAAGGAAAGGTGGACTTCCCCAATTCCCAGGGAGGGGGGGGGGTATGGACTTGGATGGGACCCAACCCTTGGCCTTCAAGACTACCTGCCCAGTAAGGCAGGGTGGAGGAAGCACAGGTAGGCGTGAGGTCACTGCTGGGGTGAAGACAGCTGATGGGGTGGTAGACCACCAGGCTACGGATGGCCCCATTTTGGGCAACCGCAGCCAGGGCTGGCTCAGGTGTGGGGGACAAGCAGCCATTCTGAGGTACAGAAGCGAGCAGAGAGACTGGAGAGGTGGCCTCGGGAGAGGTGCACCTGGGAGCTCACAGCTGCGAGTTCTGAAGGCTGGGTTGGGGACCTGGGGGGGGGGGGCTTGCTCTGGGTGGCCTTCTCATGAAGGTTCCAGTCCCTCCTGCTATGGGAGTAAGCAGGGCAGGAGAGCTCAGGGTGAACAGCCTGGAGATAGATCACTGACGAGCTGCAGCCATCGCCGCCCGGATCCCGCACGCCTGCGCTCCAGGCCTCCGACCCCTCGGGCACGCGCTCTATACTGCTGGTTCGTGCCTGACCGAGCGTGGGGTTCGGTTAGTTCTCCTCCAGGTCCAAACCCGGGCAGGCGGGGCGCGGACGCTCGGCCCGTACACCCAGGGCCGGGTCGCTTGGTTCCCTCGCTCCCAGGGAAGGGACACAGTATGCGTGCCGTACCCTTCCCTCCCGGTCGCGCGCAAACTTTCCTTGTGCACGAGCGCGTCCCGTGACGTCACCCGCCGGGGAGGGCGCTCGGCCTCTTCCTACCGGCAGGGGGAGCCGCTCGCGCTCCGGCGCATGCGCCCGGCTAGGCTGGCGCCCCACGGTCTTCCGGGCCCTCGCGGCATTCACCTCCGCCTCGGCTGCGCTTCCGGTGCGAAGGTCAGGGACAAGATGGTGCCGCCGGTCCAGGTGTCTCCGCTCATCAAGGTGAACCCGGCTTCGTGGCAGCAGCACGGTTGTATAGGCTGGGACCCCGATCCCTGCCCACTACCCTCATCCCCCAGACCCTGCAGGCCGCGCCCTGCCTTTCCGCGTCCTCGCCTTCCTTCGTGCCCGACCCTGCAGGCTGCGCCCCCGACCCCCACACCCTGCAGGCTGCGCCCCCGACCCCCACACCCTGCAGGCTGCGCCCCCGACCCCCACACCCTGCAGGCTGCGCCCCCGACCCCCACACCCTGCAGGCTGCGACCCCCCGCGTCCCCCGCCCGCGGCCTGCGGGCTGCGACTCCCGCCGCGCCTGACGCCCAGTCGCCTTGTTCTGTCCCGCAGCTCGGCCGCTACTCCGCCCTGGTCCTCGGTGTGGCCTACGGAGCCAAGCGTTACAGTGAGTGCCGGGGCGGGCGGGCTGGGCGGCTCGGGCGCAGGGCGGAGGGGTCGCAGCTACCCAGCCTCTTCACGCAGCGTTTTTAGGGAGGAGGTTAATCGAAGCCCCCACCCCTCCAGGTTACCTAAAACCCCGGGCAGAAGAGGAGAGGAGGGTAGCCGCGGAGGAAAAGAAGAGGCAGGATGAGCTGAAGCGGATTGAGAGAGAACGGGCCGAAGGTAGGAGCGAGCCTTAAGCTGCCCATCCCGTTTTTAGTGGAGGGAGGGGTGCCGCCTCTGGCCTGCCCTGTGGGGAGCAGCCCTGGAGAGTAGGCGTGCCGCTGGCCCCAGCGTGCTGATCCCCGTAGGCTGAGTCAGGTCGAAGGGAGGAGAGGCCAGGATCCATTTTAGTGAAGTGCAGTGGGGGTCCTTGGATTGGATTCCGGGTTAAAGTCTGAGGTTCTGAAGGGGCCTCCTGGGTTGCCTGAGTGTGTCTTTTCCAACCTTTCAGCCCAAGATGACAGCATACTGAAGTGAGGCTCCCCAGCCTGCCTCTCCCCAGCCCAGCAGATGAATAAAGCTTCCTCCTCCGTGATGTTTGGCTCCCTCTCATTACTGCTTCTCCAGTGGTTAGGTTCCTGGACTCTGCTCAGCAATTGTGCTGTCTTTTCCTCAGGGTGAGGCCTCTTAGAGGGGATTTCAAAGGGATTAACGAGCATCACTCATTACTGACCCAGAACACAGCTCACAAACAGCAACAAGTATAGAAATGGATGCCTATTTTCTGGGGTGTTGAGGGGGCCTTTGAGTAGTCAGTTCTAATGGAGCAGTCCCTAGAACTGCTCCTTGCTCTACCCTGCTTCTGCCAGCAGCCCAGGCTCCTGGATAGGCAAAAGAGGGATTGGAAGGTGGGTGGAGGTGCTGATGGAATTTTAAGTTGGAAGCTGGGTCTTCTGTCCTCAACTCACAATCCTTTTCTGTTATTTCAAGGTGGCCAGGGCAACCTTGAGACAGAAGCCCAGGGAGGTGGTCTCTTAAAGGTGAGCCCTAACCTCCCCAGACTGGACTCCTGGCCACTGAGGCTGTGAGTTGGAGTTGGATGGGTGGGGTATTGCTGCTTCCCGGCTGTGTGCCAGGAGCCAATCCCTTAGGCAGAAAGCCTCAGTTTTTGTAAAGTGAATATATTTGTAAACATATGGAAATGGCTTACAAATGTTTCAGAAGCCTATTATTTGGTTTTTGTGGGTGAACGAGCACTCCCACCCCCCAACCTTGAGCAGTGGTGTCCCAGCACCTGGGTCTTCAATGGTTGCTGTCCCAGGCTCCTGTCTGAGGCTGTCACCAGGTGTCACTGAGGTGAGATGAAAACCGGCTCCCTGCTGCAAGTAGGCAGATGGTCCCAAGGAGTGACCCTATCCTGCAGAGTACTGTCCAGTGGGGAACACACATGATGCTCACTGAGTTAGTAACCCTTGTTTTCTGCAAGATGATACTCACTTCAAAGTCAAGGCCCACTGGACTTTCTGCCTTTGCCGGTCCCCTAGTCCACCAATATTAAGTCATGAGAGGCAACAGTTCTTCCTTAAGACTCCCTGGTGCAGGGTCTGAGCCAGCAGAAGCTTGGCCTCAAGTCCACCCTCCAGTGTTCATTACAGACCACTGCCATCTGACTGCGCTCTCTAGTCCTGGCCTTGAGCTTGCCGGCAGAGCTTTCAAGCACTCTTTTGTGTCCTCCACAGTAACTAGTGTGTAAAAATGGACAATTTGATCTGTGCTTTATTCTGAATTCTTGGGCATGTTCTTCCTGAAGCAGGTGAGACAGGGATGCTACATTCCTGTGTACACACATCCGTGCAGTTCTGAACGTTCCCCACTCAGCAATTTCAGACAGTTCACAGGCCTCTTTCAAAGATCTCTGTGGGAACTGTATTCAAAAAAGAGTGATGTAGGCTATACTCTTTAATAAATGATTGAGAGTTTGCTTAAGTTTATTAAAAAAAACCTTATAAAAATTCAAAATATTTCAAACTGTCTTCAGTCATTTTCTTGGCTTCCTAACTTTTTACTCCAAAGTGCAGGAGGCAGAGCCCATGTTCCAGAGGTTGAGGGCCTGGAGGGAGCTACCAGTCCCCTAGACCAGGGCTTACAGGATACAGCAGGTGGAAGACTTGGGTGCTGGGTCACCATTGCAGATTTCTGTGCCCACTGTGAGAGAAAACAGGGTGAGTGGGGAGCCTTCGCCCTCCTGCTTTGTGTGCTCTCTCCCCTTCAGGGAAAGGGTGGAGTGCAGGTCTGGCCAGCCCAAGCAGGTTAAGTGGAGCTGAGCTGTTCTTAGTGCTTCACCTCTCTTGACACCACACCAAGATTGCTCTCAGTCCTGGCCTCCCACAACCCTATGGCTGCCTTCTTCATGCTGGTTTACCCCATGGCACAGCATGCAGGGAGTAACAAGGCCCAGACTAGGGAAGCCAGACAGTGCATGGAGGCTCTGATCTGGGTATGCTGACTTGTCACCGAGTCAGGCCCTGTGACAGGACTGTGGGCACTGCAGGACTAACTCCTGCGCAGCTCACTAGTTTCCAGTTTTGCTGTTTGGTTTCTGAGGGTGGCATGGGCATGTGGGTGCAATTTACAAGCTACTTAGGGTTCGACTCCTCGGTGGTGGAAGGGAGCTGCTGAGAGTTGAGTGAGCCTGCTTCCCTTTACAAGGGCAGCAGCGCAGTTACTTGGAGAGACTTGAGCTCAGCCAGGAGCAGTGAGACCCTCCTGGCTCTGTCACTGCACAGGTGACCTCCCCACTGTGGACGGCATCCCCCGTGGGGCCGCTGGGCATGCACCCTTCCTTTCCCTAAGTCTCACAGCTTTGTCGGGGGTAAGCCGAGTCCCTGCCCCAGGCTGGCCAGGGCCCAGACCTTTCTTGGCCGCCACACTCTCTTCCTCCTCCTCCTTCTCCTCCTCCAGGGCCTTCATTTTGGCCTCGTGCTCGTCAGCAAGTGCTTTCCACTCCTTCCTGTTGTTCTGTAGTTGGTCAAACATGGGCAGGATCTCTTCATGGAAACGGGAGAACTCCTGGAGGAAACAGAAGCCACATGTGTGTCCCCTCTGCTCCTGGAGGGCTAGGATGGTGGTCTCCCTGCCCAGCCCCTGTGGATGGAGTTGAGGAAGGCAGAGGGAGTCACCCTTGCTGGACTGTGACCTTTGGCCACTTTAAAAGGACATGTCCATGTTGACCCTGCTTGAGTGGCTGATCAGGGCCACTTCACCTAAAGCCAAATAGCACCCTTCTTAGAGAGGGGGGTGGGGCATTGCCTGGTCAGGGAGTCAGTCAGACCCCCACCAGGTCAGTGTCTTCCCAGTCCCTCCCTGTGTCCTCAGAGGCCCAAACAACAGAACTCAGGCCCAGCAGGGCATTGGGTCCCTGGCCACTGGGCAGGAACATGGCTGCATTCCCATGTTCTGTAGGTCATGTGGGCAGGGCACACTAGCAGGGATGGGCAGACCCAGGCCCACTCCTGAGGGCTTACAGACACCCCCAAAGGAACCCATAGGCAAGTGGCAGTCATTGCCCTGAAGACAGGTGCCCACCATTGTGCAAGGGCCCCACAGAGGCAAGGTCCCTGAAGAGAGACCTCGTGGGGTGGGTTGGGGGGGCATTCTTGGTGCTTCTAAGGACAGCTGGTGGCAGGTCTCATCCCCAGTGCAGGCATGAGTACACGCCATGGCTGAGCAGGTGGGGGTGAGGCTGGGAGGGAGGTACCCCCATGGGTGGCAGTCTGCACAGGCATTCCTCCTGCTGTGAGGTCACTGCTAGTCCCGCCCACGCCCCCTGTGGGCTCCTGGCTGCTCTGTCAACACCCACGGCCCCGGGATTCCCACCTTGTACACGAACGTGCACACGAAGTCAATGAAGCCAACCTGCAGCTTGGGGAGCTCATCCGCCTTACTCCTGTCCATCATGGGCTTGTGGAGGAAGCAAAGGCAGCTTACCCAGTGCCATCTCCTCAGGCCCTTCAGGCCCCAGCTGGCACCCACCCCTACACTCTAGTGAACACATTCATGAGAGAGAATGAGCAGAGCCCAGGGGCAAAGGTGCAGCCCATAGAGGGCCAAGCTCAGCTACCAGAGCTGGCCTAGAAGCAGAGAGCCAAGATGCCCCTCCTTGCCAGCTGCCCAGGCTGCCCCTTCCTACTTCTGAGCCTCTGACCCTCATGTGGGATACTGCTGGTTCATCTAAGCGTCTTCTGTCCACAGGGCACTGTCCCCAGTGTTGCCCTTATGCCCCAGCTGCTGGCCTGTCACTAAGCTGACCAGAACCCAGATGTGCTGTGGAGCCTATACTTGGCATGCAGCCTGCTTCAGACAGCCATTTGCGCTGGTTGAATCTGGCTTTGGGATCAGACTTCCCATCTTGTGCCATGGGGCTGAGCAGGGTGGCCAGGAGCTGTCCTGTGCTAGCAGTGTGTTCTGACCGCACTGCACGTACCTTTCTCGCACGGATGCTGGTCTTGCCCTGGACTCTCACCCCGGCTTTCCCTGCCCTACACTGTCCCTGGGGCCATCCTGCCTGGCCGGGGAACATCTGGGAGCTGCCTGTACTTGGCTTCTGGTCCTGAGACCACCTCCATGCCCTGTACTCCACCTCACCAGGGGTGAAGCCATCCATTCTCATGTGGCACAACTACACACAGGAGGCAAAGACCTCAGAGTCCCTGTTCCCCAGCACCACAATGGGGTCTTGTCCCCTCATCAGGGCAGAAGCTTCTGGAAGCAAC